ACCGCGGATTTCCCATACCAATTAAATAAAAACACCTAACAAAAGGTCATTTAAAAAGAAAAAGTAAAAAGCGTTATTTGTAGATTCGATGTAGATAGACCCGTTTATTTTACCGATTTGAATTTAGAATTCGAGTTTTACTATAGTAAAAAGTTCTAAAAAATAGTCACATTTAACTTTTTTTATTACAGTAAAAAATTCTCACATAAAATCAAATCTCAATTCGAATTAAAAACTCAAATCAACGAATTAAACGTGCTCTTATACACGACAACTTCAATAGCATGCTAAATGTGAGCTCTTACTATTTTACCTAATTGGATTTTAGTTATAAGTTATAACCATGTTAAAATCATGTTATATATTAAACTCTCATATCTAAAATTTTATATAACACCAATGCAATATGTTGCGGACACGGCATTTCTCCATTCTCCATTCTCTGTTCCCCTTTTCCCAAAAAAATTTACTAAAAACAGCATTTGATTAACTTTAATATATTACCAGTATCTATCAACGTGGAGCGTAGTAAAATCAAAGTTGCAACCAACGCCTTTTCAAAAAAAAAAAAAAAAGGCTGCAACCAACGCCCAAAAATATATAACTACTGTGCTTAATAGTATCTATATCAAAATGATCATTTTGGGTTTTGATCAAAAGGTAATAAAAAAGTTAAGAAAATAGACAGCAGAAAAAAAGAAGAAAATAGGATTGGGAAATTAGGACGGGACAGAGTATATGGACAACCAGTACACAACTATCTAAAAAAAAAAAATGTTAGTCAACAACATGGGAATCACGTGGTTAGAAAGATGGGCAATTATTTCTACCTACCCCGATGGCTCTTGGATGTAATAATTGATAGTACTTGGGAATAATCGAGTTTCCTCTACAAAAGTATTATGAAAAAGCAACAAATTGAAATAATAAAATGGAGAAAGGAGGTTTCTTTAATACCAATAATCTTGTGCAAGGGATTATATTCTCTGAACGTTGGACTACAAATTGCTAAACAACAAAAGTGGGTACCGAAAACGAGCCCCATTAGAATATTCATATGTCTCGTGATTACTATTATTATTATTTTTTTTTCACAACTCAAATTTTTTTTTTAATATTACAGTATTTTTTTACACAAAAATTTAAATTCAATTGTTTTATTACAGTAATTTTTATCACATAAAAAAAATTTAGAATATGATTTAATTTGTGGAAATAACACACAGGAGAGCAAAGAGGTCATAATAAAGACTTTGTCTTGGAAAAATGTCTAGTACTACCACGCATTTTTCTCATACAACAGGGAAAACAAATCCTCATCTAAGCATTATCCCGCTCCTATGAAACGATCATTGACAATATAATATATATTTTTGAATGTTAGATATTTTATCACTTTTTGTTTTTGTAAATTGATATTTTATGGCAAATTAAGCCATGTAGAATAAAGGATGGTGATCATTAGTAATAATAGTAACTTTTGTATACTATAACAAATTATAATTCTATCAACTCTTTTTTAGATAAAAGATGTTCTTCACATCATAGTAATGTTTTGAACTACCCTACCAAAATATTCTGATCTCATTCCAAACATAGCTTTTGCGTAAAAGAGTAATTAAAATATGCATGATGACAAAATTAGATATATTTGATTTGACCTTTCTTTTCTGCATGCCTTTGTTTTTTTACCTAGATGCCCAATGTAACGACAGAAACTGGGTTTCCACTGGCAGGGGCTCACAATACCACGTGGCTACATCTACGTGCCTTTTTGAAACACAATAAAATTAACGTACGCGTATATATACCTATTGGATAACAGGATTCAGATTAATGATTTAAAAAGTAAAGTGTACGGATTATGAGTTTTATTTTTTATTTTTGATTTATAATTTTTTAATTAAATAATTACACTAATAAAAGAATATTTATTAAGAGTAAAAATTTAGATTCATACACTCTTAAAAATAAATTCTTTATTTTTTCTTGTTTATTTAAATCTTAATTTTAAAAGAAGCGTTAAACCAATCATACAACACAAAATATAAAAAATTTAAAATACTTTTTAATTGACTTTACATGTTTAAATGAGTCTATAAAATTATGAGGTATATTATGATTGGTATGAGATCATTTACAACATCACGATTGACAGCAGGTCTCAATCTAATACACATTGATGTTAGGATACTGCGAAAGAGGACAGGTTTTTAGGTAGTTAAATGTTGAAATATAAAGATCACGATGATATGGGAACTGAAATCGTAAAGTAGTGGTTGCCATGTGCTGCAATGTCATTAGATATTAGATTCTAATTTCCTTAAAGTTCTCGAATCGTCAGAACATGATAATTGCATCCTCCTTGAAGTCTTAAAACAACATGTGCAAATGCGATACACTATCCAATTTGACTAAAAAAAATCTAGCTAGAAGAATAATAAGTTCTGATTTTTTAAAAATGTTTTTTTTTTTTGAGACTACTATGAGGTAGCTTGAAGCTAAATCTCTTTTTTTCTCAATTACTTTTTGTGAACTTATTATTTTTAGTAACTTTCATCCCTCCCTTAAAAAAAAGAAAAGAAAAAAAAAAAAAAACTTTCATCTCTCATCTTCAAAATGGCGATAAATTTTTAATATTAAACCATGGTAGCTAGTCACATAGTAATCGCACAAAACATGAAAAGATAGCTACATAACGAGCGTGATTATTGCATAAAGTATTGAAAACACCACCGTCAATTTTATAATTATGTGTCGACAAAGATTTGACAATACGTATAGTTCCAAATGTGAGTTAGCCCCGCCCTTTTTCTTTTATTCAACCTCACTCTGCGTGTTAGTCAGACATATTAGTGTGAACGCTAATTGAGATTAAGCATGACACAATATGAACCACATAATTTCCAATGGAAAGAGTTATATCATAGGAACCTAATAACCCCAGCTAAATTTCTCCTTTTGCATCAACCGTTAATATTTTTCCTTCTAATTTAATTTTATTTGCTTACGCACCTTCAATATGTTTCTTTTGGAGCTGCATAAAATAAGTAATAATGATTAGGCTTAATTCTCTTATTTATTTATTTCCTACTTCCTATTTTTATTTTCTAAAATTTTCGAACCATATATACATATATATACACACATTAACTGGGACGTTCTTTGCATAAATTTTTGATATTTAAACGTTTTAAATTCATGTACCTAGATGGTTATAGAAAATGCCTATGAAGTATCCCATCATAACAATCACATCATTGGTTTGATAGGATTAGAAACTTTATCATTAATTGTCCAAAGAACATTGATTCCACAACTTACATATATAAATATGATCTGGTATATGAGTCACTCATCGTGCTGATTATGGTCCAATATAGGGACTTTGACACTTTTGTGTTATTGACAAAAATCACTTTAATGTCCCCCGCGTTTTTCATAATATTAAAATATCTTGATGTTTTTGAAAAACATCACTTTGATATCTTAAGGCCATTTCTAGTTTTACAATTTTATGTCTTAAACAATTCCGCTTTAAAAATGTCTGGGTACGTTTTTTATATTATGAAAAAAGACTACCAAAGTGATTTTTTCAAATAAAAGGCTTAAGTCACTTCACCTAGCAATATATTTTAAACAAAAATATATAGATATTTTTGATGGCCACATTATTTCCATGGTTGTGAAAATAAGTGGAATGACAAGAGAGAGGGAATAATAACCAGGAGGAGGAAGTGAACGAGTGAGATCTTTATCTATCTCAGCCATGTACACGATCTACTTTTAATTCAACACGTGATTGGCACAATTAAACAATTAATCCCTATTAAAAAAAAAATCTCCCAACCACTCACGAGCAATATCCAGAGAGTAATCATTATAAAAGAAAACATTCAGCCTTCCTATTGTCATTGCAATATCCACAGCAAAATCCAAATAGCAATGTGGCATCTCTGCCCCTCACTCAGCCACTCACGGTCACTGGTTCCTCCACTACCACTTCCTTGTGCCCTTTCCCTCGTAACAACTCTATCCTTAACACCAAACGCATAGAATCCCACCACTTCCTCGTGCTGATTATGGTCCAATATAGGGAAAAATTCACTTTGACACCTTCGTGTTATTGACAAAAATCACTTTAATGCGCCACGCGTTTATCATAATATTAAAATATCTTGATGTTTTTGAAAAACATCGGTTGTGTTTAGAGTTGTTTTTATTTTTGTTTTTCACGTTTTTCAAGAAAAAAAAATGAAAACAGGAGAGAAACGTCGTTTGACACAATTAAAAACAAAAAACGGAAATGAAAACGATTTTTCAGTTTAGTGTAAAATGAGAAAGAAATGAAAAATGACTTTTAGTCGTTTTTCATTTTTTGTTTTCATTTTTTCCTCTCTCTAGTAGAAAGAGAGAGAGACATTAATGAATTTTTTTATATTAAAAATAATCTCTTGATAAAACTACCAAACACTTTTTTAAAAATGATTTGTGTATGAGATTGAAAACGTTTTCATTTTCATTTTTATACAAAAAAATAAAATCATTTTGAAGCGAGTTCTAAACACACCCATCATTTTGATATCTTAAGGCCATTTCTAGTTTTACCAATCAATAAGAATATTATCTCTCACAATTTTATGTCTGAAACAAGACCTCAGAGTATCAAAGTTCCGTTTTAAAAATTTCTGGGTACGTTTTTAATATTATGAAAAATGACTACCAAAGTGATTTTTTCAAATAAAAGGCTTAAGTCACTTCACGTAGCAATATATTTTAAACAAAAATATATAGATATTTTTGATGGCCACATTATTTCCATGGTTGTGAAAATAAGTGGAATGACAAGAGAGAGGAAATATTAACCAGGAGGAGGAAGTGAAAGAGTGAGATCTTTATCTAACTCAGCCACGTGCACATCTACTTTTAATTCAACACGTGATTGGCATAATTAAACAATTCATCCCTATTAAAAAAAAATAAAATTTTTCTCCCAACCACTCACGAGCAATATCCAGAGAGTAATCCTTATAAAAGAAAAAATTCAGCTTTCCTCTTGCCATTGCAATATCCACAGCAAAATCCAAATAGCAATATGGCATCTCTGCCCCTCACTCAGCCACTCACGATCACTGGTTCCTCCACTACCACTTCCTTGTGTCCTTTCCCTCGTAACAACTCTATCCTTAACACCAAACGCAGAGAAGCCCACGTAAGGAGATCACTCTCAAGCAATGCCGGTTCCGAAGAGGCATCATCACAATGGCCTCAACTCGGAAAGGTCGACCGGAGGAATGTGCTCCTCGGCCTCGGTATTACCGGGGTTGGATCCAACCCTCTCGCCATGGCGGACCCAATAGCCGCACCAGACTTGACTAAATGTGGCAATGCTGAGTTGTCCGACGGCACTGTCCTACCAGTCGACTGTTGTCCACCAACAGCCTTAGAGATCATAGATTTCAAGCCACCACCTTTTACGAAGTTGCGAGTTAGGCCAGTGGCTCACAAGGTTGACAAAGAGTACATAGCCAAGTACAACAAAGCTTTGTCACTCATGAAAGCTTTGCCCGACACTGATCCGAGGAGCTTCTCGCAACAGGCTGATGTTCATTGTGCCTACTGCAACAGTGCCTACGATCAGACTGGCTATCCTGGTGTTGAACTCCAAGTTCATAACTCTTGGCTCTTCTATCCCTTCCACCGCTGGTACTTGTACTTCTACGAGAGGATCTTGGGGAAGCTCATCGGTGATCCGACTTTCGCTATTCCTTTTTGGAACTGGGACCATCCCGACGGCATGAAAATGCCGTCCATGTTTACCTCCGATACAAGCTCCGCGCTCTATGACGTGAACCGAAGCCCATCGCATCAGCCTCCCTACGTGATCGATCTCGATTACAGCCCGTCACAAGACGCCGGAAAACCGGCGAAGCCTTATAAGCAGCAGGTGGACGAGAATCTCACCACGATGTATAAGCAAATGGTGTCTGGTGCCAATACACAGTCGCTTTTCTTCGGTGGCGACTATAGGGCCGGGGAACCGCCAGAAAACAGCCCCGGTAGCGTAGAGAGTAGACCCCACATACCCCTCCATATTATTTGTGGGAATGAGAATAACAAAAATGGCGAGGACATGGGGAACTTCTACTCGGCGGGACGAGATCCGTTGTTCTACTGTCACCACGGCAACGTCGACAGGATGTGGAGTCTTTGGAAACAGCTACCGGGGAAGAAGAAAAACGATATCACCGACCCTGATTGGCTTAACGCCACGTTTTTATTCTACGACGAGAATGCGAAGCTCGTGCGTGTTAAGGTCGCGGGCTGCCTCGACACTAAGAAGCTCGGCTACGTCTACGAACAAGTCGACCTTCCATGGCTGAAAAAGAAGCCAAAGTCAAAAAAGGTGGCAAAATTGGCTGTTGGAGCAGCAATCGCTGCCGAGTCGACCAAGGGCCTGACCCCGCTCTCCGCTTTTCCCATAGCGCTGAAGAAGGCGATAACGGTGAAGGTGCCAAGGCCGAAGAAGGGGAGGAGCAAGGCGGAGAAGGAAGAGGAAGAGGAAATATTGGTGATTGAGGGGATCGACTACGACAAGAGTACGGCTGTGAAGTTTGATGTGTACGTGAACGACGAGGATGAGGCTGGGCCGGAGAAGTCGGAGTTTGCTGGGAGCTTTGTGACGGTGCCACACAACACAAAGAACAAGGAGAAAACGTACACAAAATTGAAGCTTGGAATAACAGAGTTGCTGGAGGACGTGGGAGCTGATGACGATGAAGATGTGTTGGTCACTTTGGTGCCCAAATCTGGTAACGTTACCGTTGGTGGTGTTAAGATTGTTTACGAATATTAAAGATTAAGATCCATTAATTAGCATTATCAATCTCCAAAACGCTGTGTATGTTGGGCATGTGTACTTGTCATAATCGTTCTTTTGGGCGTGGTTGATAAATAATTGTTTCTTAAAGAGTTGTGTCAAGTGGAGCACTCAGGCGCTATCGCTGTTCTGGGGTTGCATTTGTCGACTTTTTTTTCTGGTTGGGCTGCTTTATTTTTCAGGTTTGTCTTGTGTACCATTATGAGTACTAACTCTGCCTTTTACTTTCAGCAGCGTGCTCTAGATATGTTGCTTGTTTGGCAACGGACATGAATAAAAGTTGTACTTCCTGATTTTTTTTCCCTCCATAAGAACTGAGTATAAATTAAAGTATATCGCGGGATATAGATTCTAAAAAGAGATTAGGAAGAAAAATAGAGATCAAAACGAAAAGGTAAAGTCTCGTGGTGGTGCATATGGCATTTGTGGTTGGTTTCCAACAAAGTGGAGGGTAATATAGATATTAGGTTGTTTGGTTGCTAGATGATGTCATGATTCGAATTATTGTTTGTGATTCGTTATAATAATTGAATGGTATGAAATAATGTTGGTTTTACAATAATTGAATGGGAACATATATATATATATATATATATAAATGATTATAATATCACCTAATAAAAAACATGAGCCAAAGAAATCATATATTGAATTAAAAATATATAATTGAAACTCAATTTTCCACGTAGGAACTACTGTGTTGAGTCTTTGACTAAGGTTGTTTTCGCGGAAGGATTATAGACATAGCACATATGATTAGTCAAGTATTTGGAAAAGCTTTTTTAGGTTTCTATTTATACCATTCCTATTTCCCCAAGATTTCCAATTTTTCCAATCCTCTCGGTTGGGCTTTCAAAGTGTACTAATTGAGATACCTTTAACCTTTTTAGTCAAATTACTATACTAACAAAAAAGTATGAATTAAGAATGAGAGATAAAAATCTACACTCATATGCGGTAAATTTTACAATTTTTTTTCTCTCTTTCTTTTTTTCTATAATGATAGAATACATTTCCGTTCCCTCGTGATATATTAATCTTTTTTTTTTTTCTCAACAAAAAGGAGATTATTGGTGTTACTCTACCCTATTTTGTTCATCAATTTAGAAATCTTAGGATCCGTGGAAAAAACCTGACCTAATTCTATTTGAAAAATGTAAATGATGTTTTTACTGATGCTACCACACATCAAATACCGCATAACAAACTTGTTGGGCAGGGGTCTTAAGGTGGAGCTAGATCCCGAGAGAGAAGAAATAACGCATTTTTTATCGATACGTGATATATTATCGTTTAAATAATGTAATTATTAATCTTTATTCCATACACATACATATAGAACATAGTGGTCTGTCTCGCACTTCACAATTTTGATTCAACTGCCCAAAAGCAATGTAATTATCGTTTAAAAAATTCCCCTAAAATATATTAAAGTAGCGTGTGCACTTTGAAATTTGGATAAGCTTTTTCTCCACATCTAATTTTCATAAAACATAAACGGGACTTTCCAGTAACTTAGCAATAAGAGGACACCGATAACCAAAAAGAACAGAAAAAATTGCAGGAAGTTTTGCCCTCAAGGAATATTGCGATTGATACATATATTTTAGGCAGATTTGAGTTGCTTAATTAAGACACAACACAAACACCACAGAAATTTGATCACGCAAGAGATATATAAGAAGATCAAAAACAACGAAAAAGAAACATATATGCAAATGAAAAATTTACAAGCTTAAACAAAATTATACCGGCTCACAAATATATAGATGTAAGTTACCTGCTAGTTATGAAGACTATCCGTCCGTTCTGATTTGTGCAATATCGTTTATTCTGAGCTCTGACCATATTGCTATAAATAGTACAACAAACTCCTCCAAACAAATTGCAACAAAACAAATGTTACTCAGTAGACAGCTGGAATTGCGGTGATTAGCATGATAATTTACTTGTAAGTGTGGAAATTAAGCATATGGAGCACTTGATCCTGAAAAGTTTAGCATATTAACCCCATAATGTTTGCAAATTATAGATGTACTATTATATATATAATGATTTTTCTTGGCCGTCCATTTTCGCCCCTTTTAGCGGTACTGACGTTAGTACACCATCTCTAACGCAGTACAATGTAGTACGACTTTTCCAACTTTTTGCTTTAAATTATTAATTCTATGCATTTTTAGGGAAGTTAAACTTGTAAGCATTTGGTTTGTAGGTTGCAATAATTGACTAAAAAAAAAATTAATTAGGGTCCGTTTAGTTTCTTAATTTAAATTAAGATGTGATTTTATGTGAGAGTTTTTTACTGTAGTAAAAAAGTTAGATGTCACTATTTCTAATAATTTTTTACTGTTATAAAACTCGAATTGGTGAAATAAACATGATCTTAATTACTCATTTTTCTTTTTGAAAAATATTCCAAGTTTTTTTTAGGGTGAAAACAAAAGTATATAATTTAGTTCAAATAACTTAATCCATCTAAATTCAGTACCAAATGAACTTCATGGTGATTCAATGACGCAAGTTTGCATACTATCGTAGTCTAAACAACATTTTAGCAGTGTATAGTGCTTTATTTATTTTGAAAATAGTTATTGATCACATATTGTAACGCCCGGCAAAACTAAAGTGAAGGTTTATGCTTAATTATGTGAAATTGAGGTTATTAGTGTGCCAAATTAAATATTTGAGAATAAATATTAATATTTTTAGTCATGAAATTTAATTTTACGACATTTTGATTATTTTTAAAATTTTTCATCTTTACCGAAACTTTTTGAATTACATTTTTACCTCCCACTTTGAGAAATCACGTGACTTCAGCAAGGAACATTTTGGAATGTTCATTAGCTTCCAACGCACCGCTTGAGAGGTTCCAGACACATTAGTGGGTTTATGTAACATTAACACATTAATATTTCCTTCACCCAATTTCTCTTTTACGTTTCCCTTTCTTTCTTTTGCTCATTTTCTGCAGAAAAAAGAAACACCAGCCCTCTTTTTCTCTCTCTCTCTCTCGTCAAATTAAAACCACAGAGGAACCACAAAATCTTGAGTGAATCTTGAAAGAAATTTAACCAACTGGTAGAAATTTGAAGTTTTTGAAGCAAACCAACTTGGAAATCAGATTTAGGGTTCCACTTTTGGTCTGCAATTTTGTAGGTCCTCGGAACAATTAGAGCGAGAACAAGGAGGTGCAAGTATTGGGAGAATAGTTCAGTAGATATTTTCCTGATGAGGTAGGATTTTTCTTCCTTCCTCTTGTAAAGCCTGTTACTTAACAGTTTGGCCTTGAGATGATTTGGGACATGAATTATAAATTCTGAGTATTTAAGCTACGTTTTATGTATTTCACTAGTAGATTGAATTTCTATTATACTGTTGGAACTAGTAAATGAAGAAATATTTAAGTTGTTTGTGTTTAATATTGAAAAGGACATGATTTTGGTAATCATGTGAACTATTTTAGTATATAACATAATTTGGTTTAGAGTTGCTGAGCGGTTCTAGTATCTCATAGAGATTACTATAAATTAGCTTCAAGATATAAGGTGAATTAAATTTCTGTATTAACTCTACTGCACCATTTGTCTCAGTGTTGTAATATTTCAAGTAAAATAGTGTCCTCAGACTGTTTTAATTATTTATAAGTTTTTTTAAGCTCTCGCGTTATTTTATTATTATTTTCTAATCAATCTCGTTTTTACAGATTTAGAATATTAAATCCTGATTTATTTTATATTTATTTTTAATTAGCCGCGTCCCGTTTTCGGGGCGTGACACCTATATGTGGATTGAATCTCTTCCTACCAACGCTAGTCCATAAATTAAGTAGTTAATTTACCAAATACGGATATTGTATGGCGATGTGGATAGATGTCACGATCCAAATCAGGGACTAATGACTAAATTGAAAGTATATATAAAATTTCAAGGAACCATAACATTCGATAAAATTGTCCATTAAAAAATTAGAAACAAATAATATTAGTTTCAGAATCTCTAAAATAAGAAAAAAAATACTAAAAGATAAATTCAAAATTTCAAATTAATATATTCAATAATATATCCTTTTTAAATAAACAAAGTCCAACTGCGAAGCCTTAATTATAATCAGTAGTTTCATAACAAAAGAAAAAAAAAACAGAAAGTTTGTACTGGGAAGTACCACTCTACATATCATCCATGTACCTGCACGACCACAGTCATAGCTAAGAGTTAGAAATAGAATAAATATACTAGTTGGATGAGGAAGAGGACCCATACATAAATAATAGTACGGAGAAATGTTAGTATCACTTTTTTGTCACTTTCTATATTTATTGAGCTTTCCTTTTGTTCAATTTTCTTAATGAAAACAACTTTTAGAAAAAAAAAAAGATATGTTATTACATTTAATCTACTTTTAGAAAAAAAAAAGATATGTTATTACATTTAATCTACTTTTAGGAAAAAAAAAAGGAAATGTTATTACATTTAATCCACTTTTAGGAAAAAAAAGATATGTTATTACATTTAAACAAGAAATGAGATAATTAAATCCGCGCATGAAATAGTGAACACGAGACGCTAGCATTTCACATATAACAATAATCAAATTGTAGGGATAGTTGGATAAACATTTCGTCAATAAGGGTGAGCACACCCTGCCAAATAGAGAATCCATTTACTCACCTTTCGATTTTCTTATTATTATATTGAAGGCCTGCATGGTTATTAGACCATTCCAAAACATTCACAAACCATCAAGATTGAAAATTTATCATAAATCTATATTGAAAAATTATAATAAATCAAATAGAAAGTCAAATATATACATATTATAATGACTTGTCAAATCATATATCTATATTGTTATTAATACAGAAGAAAGAATGGAGAAAAGAGTGATCCGTTATTACCTAAATAGACAACCTGTGAAAGAGTACATATATACATGTAGCAATCTTCGTATAACTATACTCGATGAGTATGTAGATGGCCATAGAGGAGTCCATCAGCGCGCTGCGTATTGTTGAAGCTCGCAGCAAAATATATAATACTCCACAATGACACAGATTTGTACAGTTTGAAAAACATTTGAGAAGGCGAACCATGCAGTTCGTTTATAAGACCACTAAAATCACTAAAAACTAAATATATCAAATTTAATTTAATTAAATAAAAATTTGATAGCATAACAACTAATTTTCGTTATTATTAGAATCCAAATTTTTTGAGCTACTAAAAACAGTTTTTAAATAGATTCCGACTTGCCATAACTACAAGACATGCCACCCTTGCACAATTATATATCAAATCATAATTT